ACACAAGCACAGCACTGAGCTCAGCTAATAGTGAATTGCTACCAAAATAAAAGCTCTCTGTTTAGTTTAGTTTGCCACGTATCTTAAAATCTGGCAAATTCTTGTTTTCAACTGAGCTGCTGGCTGAGACAAACCAGGAGAGTCTCACATCAGAGTCAGAATGAATGACAGATAATCTAACCTTCATTCATTCAGTATTTTGATGTCAGGACATTTTAGATTTGTTTACAGTGAGATATTATTGAGTTCTTATAGTGACGTTGCTGTTGTAAACATTACAGTTGCTGCTCTAGAAACAACATGTAGTTTTATTTAAAATATTACATTCTTACCCAGTTCTTAAATAAAATAAAACTAGGCTGACATAGTAACTGCATAGCTAATATGGACTCTTTAATGTTTGTTTGGTTTTATAGCAAGTCATATCATCATGGCAATATTGAACATTGTTATTACACATCGCAGATATTCCTCATATCGTGCAGGGCTAGTTTAGATAATGAGCTGCTGAGGCTCAGCCTGTTGCCTCTGCTGTCAATCAAACACATACACCGACACACAGTCAGAGAAAAAATAACATTTTCTGATGTTAATGAAAATAATCAGAAGATTGTCAAATCTTCCTTCAAACTTTTTCTCTTAATTAGTGAGTGGTGGTCTGCAGGAGGTTTTAGATGAACATAAGATCAGTCTGAAGACGAGATGTAAACATGTGACTGAAGGAACTGATGAAACAGGAAGTGGAACCCTCCTCAACAGGATCTACACTGAGCTCTACATCACAGAGGGACAGAGTGAAGAGGTTAATTCCCAACATGAGGTGAGGCAACTTGAGACAGCTTCCAAGATGGAGACCCTCCATGACACTCCAATCAAGTACCACGAGATCTTTAAAGCCTTACCTGACCAACAGAGACACATCAGAGTGGTTCTGATGAACGGCGTCGCTGGCGTTGGAAAAACCTTCTCAGTGCAGAAGTTCACTCTGGACTGGGCAGAGGGTTTGGAAAACCAAGATGTCAGTCTGGTGGTTCTGCTTTCGTTCAGGGAGCTAAACCTGATCAAAGATGAGCAGTACAGTCTTCTCACGCTGCTCCATGTTTTCCATCCAACATTACAGAAGGTCACAGCAGAGCAGCTCACTGTCTGTAAACTTTTATTCATCTTTGACGGCCTGGATGAAAGCAGACTTTCACTGGATTTCCACAACAATGAGGTTGTGTCTGACGTCACACTGAAGTCTTCAGTCAACGTGCTGTTGACAAACCTCATCAAGGGGAATCTGCTTCCCTCGGCTCTCGTCTGGATAACTTCCAGACCTGCAGCAGCCAATCAGATCCCTCCTGAATGTGTTGACAGGGTAACAGAAATACGAGGCTTCACTGACGCCCAGAAGGAGGAGTACTTCAGGAGGAGATTCAGTGATGAAGATCTGTCCAACAGAATCATCTCACACATCAAGACCTCCAGGAGCCTCCACATCATGTGTCTAATCCCAGTTTTCTGCTGGATCACTGCTACAGTTCTGGACCACATTTTGGCTACAGACCAGAGAGGAGAGCTGCCCAAGACCCTGACTGACATGTACTCACACTTCCTGCTGGTTCAGACAAAGAGGAAGAAGCAGAAGTATGATGAGGGACATGAGAAGAGTCCACAGGAGCTGATGGAGGCTGACATGGAAGTTCTTCTGAAGCTGGGGAGGCTGGCGTTTGAACAGCTGGAGAAAGGAAACATCATGTTCTACCAAGAAGACCTGGAGCAGTGTGGTCTTGATGTCACAGAGGCCTCGGTGTACTCAGGAGTTTGTACAGAGATCTTCAAAAGAGAGAGTGTGATCTTCCAGAAAACAGTCTACTGCTTTGTTCATCTGAGCATTCAGGAGTTTCTGGCTGCAGTCTATATGTTCCACTGTTACACCAACAGGAACACCAAAGTACTGGAGGACTTTCTGGGTCAAAAATATGTTAATTCAATCCTGGATGTCTTTCTGAGAGATTCCATTGGGAAATCCCTTAAAAGTAAAAATGGCCACCTGGACCTGTTTGTTCGCTTCCTTCATGGCCTCTCTCTGGAGTCCAACCAGAGACTCTTAGGAGGCCTGCTGGGTCAGACAGACAACAGTCCAGAAATCATCCAGAGAGCCATCAACAACCTGAAGGAGATGAACAGTGATGATATCTCTCCTGACAGAAGCATCAACATCTTCCACTGTCTGATGGAGATGAACGACCACTCAGTCCATCAGGAGATCCAAGAGTTCCTGAAGTCAGAGAACAGATCAGAGAAGGAACTTTCTGAGATCCACTGCTCAGCTCTGGCCTACATGCTGCAGATGTCAGAGGAGGTTCTGGATGAGTTGGACCTGAAGAAGTACAGCACATCAATGGGGGGACGACAGAGACTGATTCCAGCTGTGAGGAACTGCAAAAAGGCTCAGTAAGTCCAGATGTGATTAACATTATAAAGCAACATGAAGCTGAAGCCATCAGTATTAGAGTAAAGATACACACTTTACACAGATGAACAATATAAAACCTCCACACTCTAAAGGTTTTCTTAAACTAGTTTAAACCTGTTTATTTAGATAATTATACTTGTGTTAAACAGCAGATGTCTACAGAAATAATTTTTGTGTTTATGTCAATTTAGTGATTAAGTATCCTCTACCATTTAATAGGGCTGGGCGATATGGCTTAAAAAATAAAATCACCGATTTTTTCACACCAAACCCGATTTACGATTTTAATCGATTTTTTTGTAGACTGTTTTTTAGCTGGTGTTTGTGGGCTGCGGTCCTGTATATCTCGCAGAGAGCAACATTTATCCCACTCGGCTGCATGCCTCTGCTTGAGGTGCTGGAATAAATTGGTCGTACTGCTACCTTTGGTTGCAACAGCTTTCAAACAAACTTTGCAGTGGGTCGTGGTTTGTTCGCTGTCGGACGCCAAAACCAAACCAGTTCCACACAAACGACGACACTGTGCCTTTTTTGGGGACTGGCTTGCTGCCGTGTTGTGTTTATCTGTGGAGAGGCGGGGGGAGATGTCAGCGCACTCTCTTACGGGAGCCCAAATGGAGCGCCGGTGTTGTGGAAGTTCAAGAGAAAACCGATTTTAACTAAAAATAAATCGTGTTTAACTATGAATTCGAATTAATCGATAAAATCGATTTATCGCCCAGCCCTACCATCTAACTACCTTTCTGTGGGCGATGGAGGCTTGATACAATCAGTCATCATTTAACCATAATAGTCTTTATTTTGTACAGTGTTTACAGTGTCTATGTTTCTATAATGTGTCTGTTCATTGTTATGTTATGTTATGTTTTTTATCAGACACTGTATATTGTTGTTTAGTTAATAAAAAGTAATATATTTGCAGATTTTGCTAAATTAGAATATTTTTTATTTTTAAATAGTAAGGAACCTCTCTCTCTCTCAGTGTGAGCTCAGTAGGTTCAGTTCAGTGGATGGATTTCATCATCACCAAGCTCAGAGAAGAACTATTATTTAACTGTTCAACTCTGAACTTGACAGATTGTATTATACCTTTTGTGTAATATAATATATGTTTTATATTTTCTGTCATCACAGACTTTCTTACTGTGGACTCTCAGACACTCACTGTGAAGTTGTGGCCTCAGCTCTGAAGTCCAACCCCTCCCATCTGAGAGAGCTGGACCTGAGCTTCAACACCCTGAAGGATTCAGGAGTGAAGCTGTTGTGTGCTGGACTGGAGAGGCAAAACTGTAAACTGGAGACTCTGAGGTCAGTTCATGTATTTTGCTCTTGTATAATGTATATCTACCAAATTTAAATGCATAAAAGAAGTTTTAAATTTCCTTTGGTTTCCTTGTCTTCTGGTTTTGTCTGAGTATAAATCTCTTTAATGTTTGTCAGTCTGAACAGTTTCGGTCCAAATTTATTCTCTGCTCAAATTGGATTAATGTTAAGAAAGGATTAATCCTACAATGTAATGCAAAATATCATTTTATACATAACCATCTGAACACTTTTTGTATTTTACAGGAACATTTACACATAAGACCCCTCTCTCTGTCAGAAACACCCTGAAACTAACATACAGTAGTACACATTGTGAAGCATATTTCTAAATGCAAGTGTTTGACGTATCATGTCTACTCTGTCACCAATGACATTTCAACATCAGAAAATTATGTCACTTTGTGTTTGGACTCAACCAGTAATCATGAACATAAATAAAACACTAAAAATAGAATAATTGGATAAAAAAGACTCTTTGCATTTTGCATCACAAAGCACATCAACATGGTCAGTCATTAATCACAAGGTTTGTGGTTTGAAACTTGAGCTCCTCCTGTTCACATGTAAAAGTGTCCTTAAGCAACATAATGAACCAAGACTGGACTGAGATCAGCAGCATGTTATCAGTATGTTGATCAGTGTTGACATGAATAGATTAATGAATGTTGTGCTGACATTAGGATGATGTCTGTAGGATGACATTATAATGATCCACAATAACACAATGACAAAGTAACTCTACTCATTTCAGAGAAAAGCTCATTAATTAGAACATATTCATGTTGAGCTACACGTTGGAAACCTGAAAACATCTGATTGGATTAAAAATTGATTTTTATCTGCATAATTTATTCTTTATTCAGATTCAGTGGCTGCAGTTTGTCAGAGATCAGCTGTGATTGTCTGATCTCAGCTCTGAAGTCCAACCCCTCCCATCTGAGAGAGCTGGACCTCAGCAACAACTACAATTTGCAGGATTCAGGAGTGAAACTGCTGTGTGGTTTTCTGGAGAGTCCACACTGTAGACTGGAGACTCTGAGGTCAGACACCATTTTTTCCTTCTGTGCTGAGATTAATATGATGCGAAAGTTGTGATGACAGTAAAGTGCAGACATAAGGATGATATTATACTGATCCACACTGAGTATCTTAATGCTGAAGTCTGTTTTCTTCATCAAAGGTTCTAGAGTTACATAATTTATTCTTTATTCAGATTGAGTTACTGCAATTTGTCAGAGATCAGCTGTGATTATCTGGTCTCAGCTCTGAAGTCCAACCCCTCCCATCTGAGAGAGCTGTGGCTGAATAACAACAATCTGCAGGATTCAGGATTGAAGCTGCTGTGTGGTTTTCTGGAGAGTCCACACTGTAGACTGGAGACTCTGAGGTCAGTCCACTGACACTGTTACTATTGTAGTTTGTTTTTGTCATATTTGCTGAAACTTTCACTGCATCCTGACAGAAGTACATGAGATGGATGATCTATATATGCTCCTAATGGAATTTGCAAGAATCCACCGGGCCTGAACAAAAACAATCAGCCGAGAAAGTCTGTAGTTGAGTCTTATTCACAGGTTGTCAAATGCGGACACTTTAGGTGAGATGTAGTGAAAGTTTCAGCAAATATGACAAAAACATATATACATTTCTATTATTATTATTATTATTATTATTATTATTATTATTATTATTATTATTATTATACATTATTACACTAATAACGTCTGATCATTGATATTAATCCTTCAGATTGAATTTATCTTAAATCGTGTATAGGAGTGGACCAAGACAACTTTCTTGAGGCACTCCATTTTCTTAACCTTTTTTAACATTTGAATAACTTCCATTAAAGTACACCATTTGCCTTCTGTCGCTCAAGTAGCTTTTTTTCCATAATAGTGGAGACTGAGAAAAACCATATGATTTTAGTTTCAACATGAACTCATGATCAATGAAATCAAAAGCAGCAGAAAAATCAAGCAAAACTACTTTAACTTTTAATTTTTCTCTGTCCTATTTCCACAAGCCAGTCATGAACCATTTGAGTCAAGGCAGTGGCTGTCGAATGTTTTTCTCTATATGCATGTTGGAAATTAGTGATTAAATTATTATTTAAAAAATAAGATTGGATCTGCTCATATACATTTCTTTCTGTTGTCTTACTTAAGATTGGTAATAAACTTATAGGTCGACTATTAGATTGTGAAAACTGCAACTTCCTAATTTTTTGGTATCGGCACCACTTTGGAAATCTTCCATGGTTGTAGGCATAACTTTTCACTGAAACACTGATTAATAATATGCATGACCATAGGAGCAAAGAATGAAGTTATAGGCTGTATAAATTTGCTATCAAGACTGTCAACACCAGGTGGTTTATTTTTTTAAGGCATTAACATTGATTCAATTTTAGCAACACTAACATCCTTGAACTCAAAGTTACATTTTTTGCCTTGCATAGTATGATCTATTAATATATGTGATAAATCTGTATTCTTAGGCTGGGTGGTAGTTTTAACCTATCAATCTTATTTATAGAATAACTGTTTAGATGATTTGCTATATCTATAGGTTTAGTATAAAATTCCCCTCCAGTTTCTAAATAACATGGGGTGGATTTAGTATTTCCTCTCAATAGGGAGTTCAAAATATTCCATAATTGTTTACTTACTCACTCATTTATTCAATCATCAAAATACCCTTTCTTTTTCTTCTTATTTAATTTTGTTACAAAATTCCTTAATTTGCAATATATTTACCAATCCGATCTAAAACTAGATGAAATTGCTATTAATTTAGTTTGATCCCTTTCCTGTACATTTGTTAATGGTGCATGACGGTGTCATTGAAAGTGTGAAATGCTCCTTCAGGGTTCTCTTCTAAGAACACCTTTGACCAGTTAGCATTGTTAACATCTTCCATATATCTGTCCTCATTAAAACCCCAAAATTTTATTTTCCTAACTATTTTTGGACCACATTTAGCAAATTTGCTTTTCCTTACAATTGCAATGAGATTATGGTCACTACAACCTAATTGCACAGATATGGAATTACAGCAAAACTCTTGTGTATTTATAATAACAAGACGATGATGTTGCACTTCTACACCGCCATCATCGAGTCCATCCTCACCTCTTCCATCACCATCTGGTACGCTGCTTCCATTGCCAAGGACAAGGGCAGACTGCAGCGTATCATTCGATCAGCTGAGAAGGTGATCGGCTGCAATCTGCCAGCCCTCCAGGACCTGTACGCTTCTAGGACCCTGAGTCGTGTAGGCAAGATTGTGGCTGACCCCTCCCACCCTGGACCCAAACTCTTTGAAACACTTCCCTTTGGTAGGAGGCTGCGGTCCATCACGACCAAAACCTCTCACCACAAAAACAGTTACTTCCCATCTGCAGCTGGCCTCATTAACAAGGCCCGACCCCCTACTGACACTGACTCTTATACCCACCCTGTATATACAGTATGACTTACATTAATGCAGTCCCGTCTTCTGCACAGTTTTCTTTCTTTCTTATCTTTCTTGTCTTTATTTATTTATATTTTGAAAGTACTTTATTTTTCTGTGATTTGTATATTTGTATATTTTATGCATCAATGCACCAAGACACATTCCTCATAGGTGTAAAAACCTACATGGCAATGAACATTATTCTGATTCTGATAACAAATATCTAAATTATTGTGTCGGTAGAAGGCTGACAATATGAAGATCCACAATAACACAATGACAAAGTCACTCTACTCATTTAAGAGAAAAGCTCATTGATTAGGACATAGTAATGTTGAGCTACAGATTTAAAACCTGAACACATCTGACTGGAATATAAATGGATTTTTATCATTTATTCTTTATTCAGATTGAGGTACTGCAGTTTGTCAGAGATCAGCTGTGATTATCTGGTCTCAGCTCTGAAGTCCAACCCCTCCCATCTGAAAGAGCTGGAACTGAGTCTCAACAATCTGCAGGATTCAGGAGTGAAGCTGCTGTGTGGTTTTCTGGAGAGTCCACACTGCAGACTGGAGACTCTGAGGTCAGTTCACTGACTCTCTGTTGCTGTTGTAGATCTGATATGTTTAATGAACAATTGAACCTAATTTATGTTCATACATAACTTACATCCATAAAGTTGTAAATTTCCTTTTGTTCATATTTTCATGTTTGTTGAACTAAATTTAGTCTGCAGTCACAAAGACTTGTGTTTGTTAAAGAAACTGTAGAAAATGTCCACTGTTAGTTGTTAAAGTAAATGAATGTTTATAATTGTTGGTAAATGGTCACATCTGGATACAGAAGATCCTCTGAACTAATATTTGTTTTAAACTGATCAAGTTTACTGAAGGAGAAATATTTCTTTGGTTTCTGTTTTTTTAATGTGTTTTGACAAATGATAACAAATTAACATTGTCCTATAAAGTTAAGATTATGTATTCTTTATTCAGATTGAGTGACTGCAGTTTGTCAGAGATCAGCTGTGATTATCTGGTCTCAGCTCTGAAGTCCAACCCCTCCCTTCTGAGAGATCTGAACCTGAGTAACAACAAGCTGCAGGATTCAGGAGTGAAGCTGCTGTGTGGTTTTCTGGAGAGTCCACACTGTAGACTGGAGACTCTGAGGTCGGACACCATTTTTTCCTTCTGTGCTGAGATTAATATGATGTGAAAGTTGTGCTGACAGTAAAGTGCGGACATAAGGCTGATATTATACTGATCCACACTGAGTATCTTAATGCTAAAGTATTTTTTTCAGTGGTTTAGTCCATTGACTGTGGCAGAGCAATGTTGAGCTCCACATTTAAAACCTGAATATAACAAGAAAAATCCATGATCTAAAATCTTTACTTATATTAGTTTTAAAATAAATTATACTATAATAAATAAATAAATAAATAATCTCTATTTCAACTATCAGACAATAACAAATATATTCAGTATTTGTTTTTTCCAACATTGTTGAAGCTATATGATGTTTATACTGACTGAATAGTTTAAACTGAAAATAATTTGATTTTATGAAATATTGTAGATGTCTTTTGTTCACATTTTCTAAACTTGTATATTTTAAACCTTCTTCAGCTCTGAACAGATTATTAAACACTGAATGATTTCAAGCAGGAACATTGTCTTCTAAACATACATAATTTATTTTTTATTCAGATTGTGGAGCTGCAGTTTGTCAGAGATCAGCTGTAATTATCTGGTCTCAGCTCTGAAGTCCAACCCCTCCCATCTGAGAGATCTGGACCTGAGTATCAACAACCTGCAGGATTCAGGAGTGAAGCTGCTGTCTGATCTTGTGAAGAGTCCACACTGTAGACTGGAGACTCTGAGGTCAGTAGAGGGTTGGAGTCAGACCATGCTGGTTTCAGCAGTATTGTACTAAACACAGTTAGTATCAAAGCAAAGATCCAGTATTTGCTGCTTTCCTCAGTGAAGCTGTAAGAGGAGGATGGTGACAGACTTCAGGGTTGGACAGAGAGAGAGAGAACAGTCAGCCAATCAGAGAGCCAGAAGCTTGTTGTGATCATGTGTTTGAGTTGATGTAAAGACAACTGTTGTTGTTGTGTTCATGTCTACAGGAAATAAAGCTGGATTCCAGCTGACAGCATTACAAGATGTACAGAGACAGTGGTCCTCATTCATCAAACTGCTGTACCATCAAATCTGATCTCAAAGTGTTTGTTCTCTCATTTCAACACTAAACAACTGATCAGTTCATCTTTGTCACAGCTCTAAGATCAGTCTAAGTGAAGCCTGCAAACCACTGGATCTCATTTCAGAGAACTATCATTATATTTAGTGACCATGTGGTCTTTGTACAGACCAGAACCTCTGCTGAAGTCCAGTAATCACAGCTATTGTTCAGTCTTTGTATGAACATGTAGGACCTTTAACATCAGATATATATCTGTCCATTTGTCTTTTGTGTAGTCCAAATATGTTTTATATTATTTTAAACAGACTCCATATTTACAGATCTGTCCTGTAAGATTTCAAAATCAGATGAAACATTCAAATGTGACTGAGACTGTGGTCAGCTTTGAACCCAAACAGCAGTAAATCCATCATTACAGTGGGCAGTGAATGTCTCTCTGTTTCTGCAGTAATGATGCGTTCAGGGACTCTCAGTACTTTATTTCCACTGTGTACTTCAGTGAAATCTGCAGAGTCAACAGACTTGATGACCACTTGTGTCTGCAGGTCTTCGAGCTTCGGCTCAGTGTGTTCACTCCAATACGTTAACATGAGAGCTGAAAGGAAGCAGGCTACGCTACACAGCCGCTCACCTTCTGGTCTGAACTGAACTGAAGTCCCTGCTAGCCTTTATACTGGATGTGCTGATGGAGGGAGTCTCTGTAAACACTGATTTATGACTTCTGTTGTCTGTCTTCTTCTCTCATTAGATGGAAGTGATCTCAGTCAGAGTGTGAGTGGTGAGGAAGGAGGTTGTGTTGGAGGATCAGCTGTGTCCTGATGATCCAGAGAGGTTGAAGCAGCAGCATCAGCTCTGACTGGGCCATGTTACTGGGAGGTAGAGAGGAGAGGAGAGCTTCATCCAGCAGTGACTGACAGAGGAATCACAACCAGTGGAGATGACTCTCAGTGCTGCAGTCTGAACTGCTCTGAGATCAGCTCCACTGTCAGACACAATGTCAATATAACTGTAGATTGAAACTTACTTCAATTGATTTCTTCTTTGCACCTTGTGGAACGATGGAGAGTTGCAGTTAATTTCCACAATATATTTTGGAATCATTAATATTAGTGCAATATTATATATCTACTATCTTTTAAAATATTTTTTTCTAATATATCCCAACAGATTGTGTTATTGCAGAAAACTGAACTAAAGAACTCTAAAGTCTGGTGATATTGATCTATTTTCATTTTGATATTTGATCCATTGTTCTTATAAAAAATATTGAACAGAGTTACTTAAAGTTACTGAAATATCTGGATTTTGGTGAGAAGTCAGTGAACATTGGTTACACATTGAACACCAGAACCTTTTAATACCTTGTTATATTATTCTATTGACATAAAATGAATCAGCAAAATATAAAATAAGCTCTAATCTTACGTGTCCTTGGTAATTAAGATTATGTGCATGTATATATTTGTTGTGTTTTCTCATATTACGAAAGTTTATATTATTGCATCAAAAACAATCACATCTTACTTCTGATTGATATAAATCTCCACAAACCAGCTTCTATAAATATAAATGATCTCCATGTTTTATTCCATTTGAATTATTTAATTATTATTATTCTTTGGATTCTCCAGAGTTTTATTTCTGACTGAAGAAAATTCAAGTGTTGCTCATTTCCACCTGCTGCTGGACTCAGCTAAAGCTTTATAATTCCTCTGTGCAGCCTTAGAAAGCAGCAGAGTCCACGAATCCATCAGTGAGTGTGAATGTGTCAGAGCTTATTGAGCTCCTGATTTTCAAATAAATAAATCAATAACTACCCCAAATGTCAGCTTTTTCTTATTTTATAACAGATGAATATTTGCTTGTGAGGAACAGAAATAAGATAAAATCTGAACAAAGTGTGGATTCAATCAAAGCTTTACTGTAGTTTCTCAGTTTGCAGTCGGCTGTTTACGTCTTCATTAGACTCTGAGCATAAAACAAAGGTGGAAAGCCATCTGACTCTGACTCCCACACTGAGAAAGATCATGTTTTATTCACACAATTAAGGTGAATCAGTTTCCAACAAGTGCTTGTCCAGTCTGTTGTAACACAGAAGAATTCAACTTTAGAGACTTAAAGGCAAATTCCATACATGAACAATAAAAAGGAAGCCCCAGAGTTAAACTGAAAACAGGATTAGAAGCTGCTGTCACTCTCAAACTGATTCCCTGGTCTTAATACAGGAAGTCATGTTCAGTAATAACTCAGTTTGAGTTGTTCAACTTCTCTGATGACGTCCTCAGTAACAGGAGAAGATGGTGATGATGGAGCTGCAGCTGATTCACTCTGTGGCTCTCAGACTAAAGGCTACTTCACTTATCAACAAGCTAACTACTATAATAATATCTGTTGGCAGAAATAATATGTGTAATATGTGCTTACTGTGTATCTACAATAATGTAGAAAATGTATGAGCTTAAATTAATATACACATTGTCAAGCTGTTCTAGTTGATGTTGCTGAGAGCTGCTTGCAACAGTTTCACATGAGTTTCTGAAGATTTGCTCACATTAATCCAATACAGTCACATTGAGAGCAGCACAGGTTGTTGGGGATCTTGTAGATAGTTGCTATCATACATGTCTTCTTCTTTCCTGCGAACAAAACTGAACAAGTTATTGGTAAAATACATCCAAGTAGAACTCAACACAAACTCTTATTACGGTTAGAAAAACGTTTCATGTTAAAACCACTGAGCCAGTTTATTTTTGGATTAGTTTACATTATTTTACACTCTGCTTGTGTGTTTGAGTTATAAGTTAATTTAATTAATTACAGCCTGCCGTGCACTGTAAAATGATTCAGGTGCTTTTCTATTTTCTAGTTTTCTCATAGTACCATTTCTGGTCAGTTCAGTTAAATGAACTTGAACCAACCAACTCAGACCACAACATACTGACTGATAACTACTGTAGCATTGTTCACGTGTCCATCTCTCAGAATCTAGTTTCCTCACCCTCAGCTGTTAGATCTTCCTGATGTTAAGCAATCCTACATTCAGCTACTTCAACTTTGCAGCCAAGCACCTATTAACACTGCAGCAAACATCCCAACACCCAAGCAACCCCAGGCAATGCCTTAACAGAGACCTTCGGCACTCTAGCAACCACCTACTTACATCTACTTGAATAGTGTGAGGGTCCCTCTGTGTGCTTTGTACTGCTTGTGGAGGTGGCTGTGGTTTACACTCAGCTGACTCAGAGACACCCTTCACCTGCTGCCTCCACTCCTCTGAGACTGAGTGACTGACGTTGGCTCCGGCCTGGTTCAGAATGATCTGACTGTGGTTGAATCTCCAAACGAGGCTGAAGACCATCAGGGAGGTGTCTGACACACTGCAGGGGATTGTTGTGTCAGTGCTGGAGGCAATGATAGGAGCTGAAATAAGGCAACACAAACAGAAAAAGATCAAAACGCCTGTGAATCCGAATTATTTCCACAGATATAGAAACACATACTGTCGGATAAGAGCTGATTGGACATATTTGTTTGCTAAAAAACTGAGAATTATTAACTGCCAGGTTTGTTAGTTTGCAGTTTATCCGAAAACTCAGTGAACAAATGTCCATGTTACTCAATGAGCAAGTGATTAGTTGTTAGTGTTTGAAAATAAATGTTATTCAAGTTGCCATTTTTTATCGTTTTGTGCTATTTTCTCAACAACATCTTGTTATAACTGACCCAGGAAATAGGACTCAATAGCACGACTCGACACACACAAGGGCTCCGTAAAATAAACAGTAGTTTACTTGCAGTCCAGTTCACAGAGATCCAATCAGATCAGATCAGGCAAACAAACCCTAAAAGGGCGAAGGCAGAGTCCAAAGGCATGCAAAAATCAAAAAACAAAGACACATGATCAACACACAAAGGCAGGAAGTGAATGGATTTGAAACCAGAGGTAAGTACAAAATAAAACAGGAACTGAAAATATGAAATGATGACTAAAGAAAACTGACTTATTGTGACTGACAGACTGTAATATATAACCTTCATTTATAACCTTTGATTCTTCATGTCTTTTTATACCTTTTAGTGTTTTGTAGCTACAAACAGAGAGGAATCTTTCAAACAGGCACCAAATTAGACCAGAAAGGTTTTATTTAGCACATTGGTTACATTTAGGAACACATTGCACATAAAGAAAAAGGTTTTCTGTGTGTGTTTCTTATACCGTCCACTTTCAGGTTGATAAATGAGTCCTTGTTTCCGCTGATGGTGCTGGTGTGGCAGTTGTATCTGCCCCGGTCCTGAACCTCCACCCCTGTCAGCTGCAGTGAGGCGTTTCCTCTGGAGATCTGGTCCTTGAACAGTGATGTCCTGTCTCTGAAGCGCTGATCCTGGCGTGCAAGCTGGTCTTGGTTGTGGTAGTAGGAGTGGACAGGAGTCTTTCCAGTCCCCTGAAACCAGTGGACGACTACTTCAGCGCCACCCTGGAAGCTGCACGGTAAGATGCAGCTCTTCAAAACAACACAGGACGCCTCAGTGTCTGAGAATCAAATAAAGACGGTTCAATTCAGGAAAAGCAGCAGAGAAAGTGAGCTCTCTTTAACTGGTGTTGTTGTGCAGTTGCAATTTACTTTAATAAAGTTTCTTGTCATCACCATTAAAGTGTGGTGGCGCAATATCCTGAATGTGATAGGGATAGTGATATTCAGTATATTGCTAAATGAAAAGCTGTTGGGGAAGTTCACCGCGTGAGTCTGCGGAAGAGAAATAAAGAAGTGGAGCTGACAATTATTCCCATTCCCAGTTTAGGGACCATCGACTAATTACTACAGAAATCTCTTTTCAATAGCCGCCATGACATTTGTCCCAGGGACTCCAAATCAATCGATTATATTACTACACTCTCCAACTAGGACACAACTCTTTTTATCCCTTTTTATTGATTCTTCTAGTTTATATTAATATTTATATGGGGAAAACTGTTCTTCCGCACTCTCCAACTATAGGACGCCACTTCCTTTAGTCTATTTTTAATTCTTGTTCTATTTACTATTACTATTTCTATAGAAAATATATTATTCTGCACTGATTTTGACTGACTTGAAAACAAACTGTATATTGTACCACTATTAATCTCTTGATGTCTCTACATGAAACGCCTGTGGCCGAGCTGACTTCCCCGCGGTGGATCGAGCAAATCACAGCCACTTTTTAAAGAGAAAATCTAAATCCTACCAGGCTCAACAGGAAATGGGTTAATGAAAATAAACGCCTCACCTGCCTGCCTCGGTAAGAGTGTGAAGGTGAGACAGTGTCAGCAAACACACCACACAGCTGATCCCGGTCATCCTGTGTGTATCCCGAAGTAGCTCCATGGTTTCGGTTTCGGTTTTGCTTCCCCTTTTTTACTCACATATTCATCTAATTACAAAGTCCCTCTTAAAAGATTTGGCTTTTCATTTTACTTTTATTTGATAAATATTTGATTATTATTAAAATAATATTTAATTCATGCATTTGTTTTATTTTGGGCTTCCTTTTATTTAATAAAACTTAACACTGCACCAGAATCATTGCTGCCACTGCACAGACATTGTTAAATTAAAACACTTCAGCCTCTCAGCTGATCCTTTTAATCTCTGAAGTTAGCAAAACAAAACATTTGGCACTTTACGAGAACGGTCCGTGTATGTTTTGGTCATTGGATTTTCCTTTCAGAAACGGGTATTAAAAAACAGAAAACGAGTGGTTATTTGATTTTCGTTTTAAAATACAAAAATGAAAATTGAAATACAAGGCGTTTTTCTTTTTCATGGTCAAAAAGGGATGAGCGAAATATAAAAAATTATTCGATTTTCATTTTCTATTTCATATAACAAAAAATAAAATCACTAGAAAACAGAAACAGAAAAAAGGCCTGTTGTTTCATATTCTGAGACCGGATGTTGTCATTTACAGGACGGTGCTGTGTAGAAGAAACAGTAGGCTAGTAGACTGCGGTCAATCCAGCCGTGAGTCCGATCTCCGTGGTCAAATCAGCCGCACTTAAATTTAGAGTGTACAAGTATTCTCAGCATTATGGTAAATGCGGAGAAACAGCGTATTTACTTCCGGTTTTCAAAATAAAGGTATTTAGAGCCGTAAGCTATAATTAAAATATGTTACATTAAAGTGTTTCATGCGCCCCTGATGAATAAAAAAACACTTTATATCAAGTATCTTTACTGCACCAGTGTGGAGAAATACCAAAATAAAAGTCCATATTTGTATCTCCAAGTGGTATTTTCATATATTTGAGCTACTGTAAAAACACTTTGCTCAATAATTCCTGGCTATGGATGATATATTTGACTTCTACACATCTAAGACTACAAGTATACTTAATATCAAGCATTTTTACTGTACCAATGTGGAGAAATTGAAAAATAAAAGTCCCATATTTATACTTCCAGATTCCATATTTTCTTATATTTGAGCTACTGTAAAAATGTAAACTGTATGTGGAACCACCTGCAACAGCTGTCACACTGAATAATATAAAAAATAATATGTGAGGAAGAGACAGTAGGTACAATGGTGTTTTGAAGTTAAAACTAATTATTTTTCCCTTTTACCTACAAATGGACACAGCAGAGCTGCAAAATAAGAAGAATGTGGACTGGCATTGCATTTTGTGTGAAAAGTAAACAAATTAGAATTGTGTAGGATTTTGTGTTTAGTGTTTAGTGTTTATATTATCAAGATGTTATTTAACATTTGTGTGAAATTTTGTCACGATTACTGCATCATTATTGAAGTATAATGAAAATGCTTTACCCATAGCCTGGAAATATTGAGCAATATGTTTTTACAGTAGCTCAAAAATATAAGAAAATATGGAATCTGGAAGTATAAATATGGGACTTTTATTCTTCAATTTCTCCACATTGGTACAGTAAAAATGCTTGATATTAAGTATACTTGTAGTCTTAGATGTGTTGAAGTCAAATATATCATCCATAGCCAGGAATTATTGAGCAAAGTGTTTTTACAGTAGCTCAAATATATGAAAATATGCCACATGGAGGTACAAATATGGACTTTTATTGTTGAATTTCCTCAAATTGGTACAGTAAAAATGCTTGATATTAAGTATGTTTGTAGTCTCATATGTGCAAAAGTCAAATATACCATCAGTAGCCAGGAAATACTGAGCAATATGTTTTTACAGTACCTCAAATATGGTCAAATATGCAATCTCTGGAGGCATAAATATGAGACTTTTATTTTGGCATTTCTCCACACTGGTGCAGTAAAGATACTTGATATAAAGTGTTTTTTTATTCATCAGGGGCGCATGAAACACTTTAATGTAACATATTTTAATTATAGCTTACTGTTCTAAATACCTTTATTTTGAACACCAGAAGTAAATACGCTGTTTCTCCGCATTTACCATAATGCTGAGAATACTTGTACACTCTGAATTTAAGTACGGCTGATTTGACCACGGAGATCGGACTCACGGCTGGATTGACCACAGTCTACTAGCATACTGTTTCTTCTGCACAGCACCGTCCTGTAAATGACAACATCCGGTCTCAGAATATGAAAAACAGGCCTTTTTTCCGTTTCTGTTTTCTAGTGATTTTATTTTTTGTTATATGAAATAGAAAATGAAAATCGAATAATTTTTTAAATTTCGCTCATCCCTTTCTGACCATGAAAAAGAAAAACGCCTTGTATTTCAATTTTCATTTTTGTATTTTAAAACGAAAATCAAATAACCACTCGTTTTCTGTTCTTTAATACCCGTTTCTGAAAGGAAAATCCAATGACCAAAACATACACGGACCGAGAACATTCCCAGTGATCCATTTTAAAGTGCAAAGGCTTTACAAGAAACACGAGTGCTGCATTTCAGGTCTTACAGAATGTTTTCAGAGTACGTAGATGAGAGAGCTCAATGAGCTGCAGCACATTCACAGCATTTAAAAAGAAATGCTGCAAATCAGTTGCCAATGTTTTTTGAGTTTTCAAACTGTTATTGTCTTTGCAGTCTGTTGTGCTCTCAGGGCCACCGTAGACTTTACTCAATACAACTATAACTGATTAGCCACCAAGTATTTCCTCTGAACAGCAAATTAAACAAAACAAAGCAGGGTCAAACGTGTGCATACACCACCAAGTTTGTTGCACAAAGCTCATAGAGCTTCTGCAACACTTCAAATGTGTATTTCATCTTTGATCGGTGACTTAAGTTCATTACATAGATAAACCCATGAGCATAAAGCAAGTCTTTATCTACATCTACAAACATCAGGAGCCTCAGTTCCCTCAATGATGGACACATCAGCAGGGGTGCTGAACTTCCACAAAGACCTTCATGACCCAGCAATAGTCCTCCTTCTTTGCACACAAAACGTAAATATAATAATAATAATAATAATAATATACTGTACATGTTTTCCTACAAGTTAATGAATGAGTTAAGATCAGGTGAATTATTATGTAATATTTTCATTTACTTTCTAAAAGATCTGCTATAAAAGCGGGCAAGTTTACAGGATTCAGTGTATGAGAAATGAGCCGGGGTTCAGGTTTCACTGGCTCAAATGTTCATTTGTACTGGACAATTAATTTGAAATTAGAATTTTAAAAAGGTTAAGCAGAGACAGAGGTATCTTTTATTTACCTGTAGAGATATGTATGTACTAGTATTAGGGTTAGGATAGCACACTAAAGAACAAACAATATGTTTAATGTGAACACAATAATCACCAGAATCAAAATGTGAAACGTTTCCTGGTAGTCTTCAGTTCCTCTCCAGACTCTCAGAGAAACTCTCAGCAGTGTATGATGGCATCTCGTCAAACGTTCCACATGTTCCTGTTGAAACAGACAAAGGTGAATTATTACAGTGAATGCTATTTAACTGCAAACTCACTCATGCATATAAAAATAAACAGAAAGCAACAGAATGTCAATATAATCATCTACAAAAGAAGGTAATAGCTTCTCTCAAATCTCCATTATTCCCTAAAATAACTGAGCTCAGCCAAAAGCCTCAATGTGTATAATTATGCTGTTCTGTAAACTATAAATGTATCACAATTACAATGAATAATCTCAGTGATATAT